GTATGAGTTGGAGGACTTGTTGACTCAGAAATATCAACACTGTGTGGTCTTCTACATCAATTTAAACAAGGACATTATGTGTTCCTGAAGTGTATTTTTAGCTGTTAAACACAAAGTATACATCCTTTATAATACTTGTTTAATTACTTTTGTAATCTATTGCCTTTATGTCTTTATCATTAACATTTTAATTTGCTGCCTAGCAATGTGTTTTATGTTAAACTGTTTATTAAAATAAGTTCTGCCAACAACTAATACAAAAGATACAATAAGAGTTTGACTAACAGCTGATTCTCTAAAACATGTATGACTGATATAAGAAGACCTAGCTCCTGTAATGTTTAGCATTGTGTTTTTTTGTTTGCGTGCTTATACAACACTTAACTTACATTTAGAACATTTGTGTCATTAACCATTGTGCAACTAAAAATGTTTCTTCTTTTGCTTTGCTTTGATTTGTTTAATGTTTTTTAGAGTAGCTTTGAGACACACAAAAAACATATTTATATATTCTTCTGTCAGACATATCATAAACTACAGGAGCGACTCTGAAGCCATGTGATGAAAGACGGTTGTGGATCAGCCTGTTTGCAGCTCTGCTAATGAGACAGGGACTGACTGAGCCTAAGGATGAGGAGGGGGGATGCTGTCTCACTGGGGTTTTGATCACAGACCTCCATCCATCCACTAAGTCATACCACTGCGGAATCACAGCTTCTCCTCAGGCAACATGGGCCTGTGTGAGTGTGTGGCACAGAGTGTGAAAGTATGTGAACAGCATGCAGCTAATCCCCCCAGTGCTCAGCCCTCCAACATGTTGTTTATTTGACCTTTGAATTAGCTCTGATCACCTACCTGATTAACTCTGGGTAATGTGTACTGTAGCTTTACAACACTGTTTTTTACTATTGAATAACATATCAAGCTATTATGTAACTCATGAATAATTAGTAGGCCTACAATAAAATGCCCATCACAAGTTCCTCATCATATACATTATTTAGGTAGCGCTTTCATTATGGACAACCGGCCAACAACCAGAAGAGATTTAAATAAGATAATAGAGTCAATGCTAAAGTATTATCACACAATATTTGATAATTAAGTGAATATATTACTTCAGAGTAGTTGATTTTCAAATAAAATTAGCACATTTACAGCTGCTAACTTTGATCTCCAGAATCACTCTTGTTTCTATTCTACAAAAAAAGGTGAAGCTATAAAACAGTACCAAATAGTTTTTCTTGTTTGTTTTGCCAAGATTGGTTATAGGCCACTATACAACACATATTTAAATGTTTCTGCTTAACTTTACAGTGTACTGCATAGGCCAAATCCAAACACATCAGCAAACATTAGAATAAACAACAACATTATTATACTTAAACATATGCAATTAATTAATCTAAAAGCAACATGATAAATTTAATTCAGTTTGAGAACTGCTATTAAATATGAAGGAAAAAGGCTCGGATGTTTAGTTTTACGAGTAACTATAGGAATATCACGAAAACAAAACAAGTTGTCACAAATCAGGTTCATAATGATGCCATGTAGAGGACAACTACTTTCACTGGGCTGAAAACATAGCAATACAAAGCAGAGCATAAGACCAATATAAAAAAATACAGTCATGACAAGGATTACTGTTTGGAACAGATCCCCAAAAGGTCTGCGACACATTGACGAATATATGGTTGTAGTCTAAACACACAGCTCGTCTCGGTCCTCGGGGAGCAGACACGCCCAACCCCTAAACATGTGGCTCAACAACACACTGCGACTTCAAACCGCAGAACTGAGCATTGCCAACGGCAGCTGCAGCGACTGATAGCCGCCAGCAGCAGCACATCAGCCCGCAGAGCCCCACGGTCACCGTCTCACCTCTCACAGCCTCCAGCCCCCCCGGGCTCCCTCCGACGGGGCGCTTACCTGAAGCTGGCCGGGGACTTCACCTGGATTTTGTTGCGGCCAGAGGGTGTGCTGACTTTCCGCTTCTCTCGGTCCGCCATGCTGCCTCGTTACCATTCCTCCATTGGCTCCGAATATGCAGCCGCCCAGCAGACACCTGAGGTCCGGCGATGCTGCCTTCAAGGACTGTGAGAAACATAGCAACTCAGAAGAGAGTCGCAACAATTACTACATTCTAGTGGAGGATTTGAAACATTTGTGTTTTGTTTGATCTGTTTTAGTGCCTATGCAAGTAATTTTCCGGTCCATCATACATAATAGATTACACGTGTGTTCTAATCTGTCGAAATGACGGACTGCTTTCAGATTTTTCCGTCATTGTTAAAAAAAATCCGTAATAGACGGAAAATATTAGGTTAACGCGACCTCACACATTGTTTTCAGGCCTATATCTGCTTTCTACAGTATAGTACTTTGTGTCATCTTTGGAAACATCAGCATTTTCAATAGGTTTCTCAACTTCAAAAACAAGTTATGTGGGTTTGAGTCTATGGTTTGAACAATGCTCAGCTACACACAGGGCCGGCCCTAGACATTTTGGTGCCCAGATTATGATTTGGTGCCCATTGGTTCATTAATCAAATAAGTATGTGAACATAACCAATAACCTACCATAGCCATTAACAAATACATGTAACGTATTTTATTTTTGTTGTTCATTCATATCTTATTTTACCAAGTCAACATTTATTTATTTATGCATATTTTTTAATATCTCCAGTTTTAAACGATATATTTGGTTTACTGTCCTATAGTATGCATTGGAATCATTTCAAACCTGTTTTTATTTATCCTAATAATTATAAAGGTGTGCCTTGAAAATATTTGTTTACATAAATTGTGACCAAACCGTTTGAGACCCACTGAGATAACTTAGACTAAAGTGAACTATCTAAACCCTCAGAGCCCTTTACCTCACTGAGCTGTAGTTATCAGCCTCAATCCAACAAGAATCAGCGGTTCTGATGCGCGCCGTATCTCTCTCTCTCTCTTTTGCTCGCTCGGAGGCTCGTTCGCACTTTGGCTGTGAGCTGCGGGCGCCTGATAAGTCAACATCCCCCACTTTCATCACTTACAGCGCCCATCATAAACGGCAGATGCAAAATGTTGCCGGCCCGGGGTGTAAAGGGTGTTTACATTTAATTATTTATGTAAATGTATTACATCAAGGGCAGACAACTAGGTAGAATACAAATTAAAAATTAATTTAAAAAAAATTATTTGTATTTATTATTTGTTTCTCCCAGCGCAGCGCCCCTCCAGATCTGGCGCCCTAGGCGACCAGCTAGTTCGCCAGTGACTAGGGCCGGCCCTGGCTACACAGCATTAGTTTGATAGTTGTTATCAGGGCCGTCCTTCCCTACAGGAAGATCACGCAGACTGCGTGGGGCCTCACCTCGCAGAGGGGGCCTCATCTTGCGGAGGGAGCCTCAACTGAGCCGCAAATGTGGCGCACCTATGTGTTTATGCGGCGCAATTAGTGTGGCGCGGCATGGTTTCCAGGCTCCAGTAGCCCCCCCCCTCCAGTAGCACCCCCCGTCGACGCTTGCAAAACAGAGGGCCTCATCATCTAACTTTGCGTGGGGCCTCAAGTTGGCCAGGGACGGCCCTGGTTGTTATGCATTTTGGGAATTATTGAAATCTTATTTTATGATAATCATAAAAATCAACCCAAGCTGCTAAACATTCACATGTCTTGACAAAAGAGGTGCATGCGTGTCTAGGCCGGGCCTATACACTCTAAAAAGTCATTCAGGGGACCTTTTACCTCCACTTAATTGTTAATCTTGTTTCAAGATACAAATTTGACTTAATTGATTTAGATAAACATTTTAAGTTGCAAACATTAATTTATAAGTTGTGTTGACGTAATAATGTTGGTAATTACATCAAATTAATATTGTGTGTAATTTAAACTCGGATTTCTGCGTTGATTGACTTAAAACAAAATTCAAGTTGTAGTAAGTAATGCAATTGGCTTGATAACTTAATTGTTCTACACCTTGAGTTAAGGATTTCAAGTCCACTCCCACTTAACATGCCTGGACAAGTTCCGACAGT